AGCTTATTTTAATAGCTGCATGTTTTAAAGTCACATAAGCCAATATCTTTATATGTTGGATACTGTACTGTGAAAAAGAGGATTGTCAAGACGATGACTTATCCGCTGCACAAGTCCTTTGTCTTCACCCTTGATCTCCAGCCAATATATACAGCTGGTGTTAAGTACTCTTAAACCTGCTTAACACTGATGCAGGTTTCCACTTCATCAAAATGAACGACAAGATAAAACACACCCTAATACATCAAACTGGTTAATCTCCTTTCACCAGTAATGAATAGACGTCCCACTGACCCATGGCGTGTCCCCTGATCTTCAACCGAATTACAATTTGTATTCACGCTTGCTTGCTGGATAGAGTAAGTGAGCGTCAGATAAGAGCTGTGGTTGCAGAAATATGTAACAATCCTGGAGAATGAAATGGCTAATTGGCTAACAGATAGATTTGTGTTGCTAGGTTACCTTTTATCAGTTAGTAGCAAGGATCTGGGCTTTACTGTATAGTATTTGCCTTTTTACAAAGCTTTGTTCTAAATATTGTCACCGTCTCATGCATCAATTCTCCCAAACTGGAATAACAAGAGGTTTTCCTGGGCTTCTTTTAATTTTGCCAATTAAAATGCAGCACTGAAAAATATATATTACACAATACTGTTACAATATGTGCAACAGCATCTTTAAAATTTTAATTTCATTTAATGGGAATACTTTTGGTTGCTCACTTTAGTTTACAACATTCACACATCTGTCAACTAGTCTCTGTCTTGTTTAAAACGTATTCCGTAGAGAAATGATGCTCTGGTATATTAAGACCTATGGGGACATCTACATTTTCCGTTAATAGGATTTTTTAAAACTAATTTCTCTTTTTGAATCCACTTCTAGATGAAGGTCAGTCAAAGATGAGATGTTGCTTTTAAATATTTAAAAATAAGTGTTGCAAGCTTTGAGAGCATCCTGTCACTTCTTTTCAATAAATGTAGTTTAAAGCTGCCCTGAGAAAGAGCTAAATGCAGCAGGCAGGGAAGACAAAGCACTGAGTCATCTATCAGACTGGTTAATCCTGTCCCTTCAGTAAATTATTCATCATAGTTATATGTCTTTGTCCTGAGTGAAAAAGATCACTGGAGTGAAAGGGCACCCATACTTAATCCCTGCTGTCTAAAGACGGTCATACAGTTGTTTACTTTAAAGAGAAGCTGGTCGTGGTTATGGGCCGACTCAAATGTTGCTCCAGGTGTTTCTCTTCCCAACAGTTTGAGCTTTGGGGCATTTGTATTTGTTAAAAATTAGTGGTGGTATTTTGGAATTTATCTATTTTCATTTCCTGAGAATCTGACTTAGTTCAGAGACACGGTTGTTGACTGTAATATCTGATACTTGTACTGAAATTGACAGAAAGCCAGTAAACCACTCAGAGTGGAATTGAAACATCTTTTCACAGCTTTATACTGAGTATGAAACTAAGTGGTACTCCACTTAAAAAGGCCAACAGACTAATTTATCTCCTCAGCTCTTAACAGAATGATTAACAGCGTCACCAAAGCTGAGAAATTTGTCCAGCCTACGGTCGGTGTAATGGCTACGGGGCGAGGAAGGAGACTGGGTTATAAATGGAAGACTGTAATTTATCTTTTTTGTTCTTCTTCGAGGTCTTTAATCATAGCGTCCACCTATGGGACCTTAAGACATTCATCCTCCAGAGAAGAGCCTGTCAGTTAGTAGATAACTAGAGAGATTTGTCTTAATAAATGTGGTTGGGTATATGTATAACGTGCATTTACATAAGATAGCTCTGTTTCTGGAGATTTTAATTGTGTCTACCACAAACAACAGCTAACATTTATGTGTGTATAATCATCTTATCAAATCATTTTTGTAAAATAGATGAATCTTCAAACAGGGCAAATCAGTGCTATTAAAAACCGGTGATGATGAAAATGATCTTAGATTTTATTACTATTTGAGAAAACATGAAACAATAAATGACAAAGATTACTTGATTAGAAGAACATTTAGAAGCACACTTTGACAGACTGCAATAGCAATATTTATATACTTTATAAACCAAATCATAAGTGAAATATAGAAGAAATAAAGGAAGAAAGAAATAAGACCGTTAACATAATTAAACATGTTGTGCTAACCACAACAATAGAATATGCATTTTAAATACTGTAGCCTTTGCAGGAGAGTACATACTGTACAGTGCTTCTGTATATCTTTAGTTGATTTAAAAAGACTAATAAAATAAACACCACACATGATGAGGGGGACCAGATTAATGCAAAAAGAAAACTTATATGCCATCTCGCTGACAATCAAAGCATCTCACATGTGTTGGTTCACAGTACAGTCAGTGTAAGCTTTCCAGAACATCATCTGCTAAAAGCCTAAAGTGTAAATGTCTGCAAACGGCTTTCTGCCTCATCTTTTCCAGTGATGCACAAAGCTGTGGGGAGGAGGTCCTATTGTCTGTTGTAAAGCCAAAAGTGTGCGGCCCTTTTATTCTACCAGGGAGGCAACGCTTTAAAGTTGCAGACGGGGTGCATCATGACTAAACAAAGCGTGGTCAAATCAAAGTGACCCTAATTATTAGACGTTGTAAATCATGTTTATTTAAGCTACAGTTTTAAGGAATTTCCCCTGATGTTTGAATTGAAGTTTAGTTTAGAAAGTCCAAAGTGAATAGATGAAAAACTATTTATTAAAAACTGAATAAAGATAAAGATTTGGCATGACAGAACATTTGCTTTCTTCAGGCTCTGCTGTATATTTACAGATATATACAATAACTCCTGCAGTTGCTAAGCGGCTAACAGAAGGGGCTCTGCCTTTTTGATGTTCTAACAAAGAAAATGAGGAAGATTAAAACCATAAAACTCAAATGTGCCTGCACCATTGTTTTGCGCAGTTGTTCTATCAATACACAAGTCTGTGGTGCAGACTGTGTGTTGATGTTATGTCATCCATTTCCTCTGCAGAGAGTGTATAGTATCTGTACAGGTGACGCAGGCAAATGCTCTCACTCATACATTCACGTCTGTGCTGTAGAGGTCATGTAAGGCAAGGGATTGTGTTGCTTCTGTGCATTTATTTTTATACATTTAGACTGATAGCTTAAGTTTAATGGGCTACAAAGAGGCTGAGCATGTAGCCTCAAATACAGGGGCTTAATAGTGAGACTGACTTGTCAGGATAAAGCTGCCAGGTTTTTAAACACTAATTTTTACTCACTACAGAAAACTAAATGGAGCTTTTCTCTGCATGCTGGGTACATTTCAAGGTCTATTTAAGGTCTGTCTATTTGTTGTTGTCAGTCAACTGTTTTATTTTAGCTCTGGCTCAGAGCCACGGACACTGTTTATACATGTAAATATATGCAACTGCATATTATTTTACTCTTTGGCTTTTACAGTTTTCTGTTCCCTGTAAAATAAACTGAGTTCCCCTAGGAACTATGCAATATGTAGCATAATAAATATCCAGAGATATAGTGCATATTGATCAATGAAGAATGCCACACTATGACAGTATAACATGGTAGTTTGGAAAAACTGGCAAAAAACAAGAAAGGACTAGTTGTTGTTTTGTTTTTTTTTTACTTTTGAGCCTAAACATAATTTCTGTTATAGCTGAGCCTCCGTCTGTGACCAAAATGTTGAAGGAAAAAGAAATAAAATTCTGGTTTAATAAGAGCTGGAAGATCATCTCTGGATTGTGACTTAGTGTGTATTTTTAGTCAAAATCATAGCCCGACATTTCCTTTGTTTTCGTCGATGAGCCTTGTAGTGTGCGTGTGTGTCATGTCAACAGACTGATCCAGAAAGTCTGGAATTAAAGCAGGAAGCTACAATGACGCTGGACGTTGTACACAGATGTTTATTAAAAGAGAGTGTTGTAGTAAAGAAATCACATATTTACATTTGCCAAGTTTTGTCTAGACGTGCATTTATGTTTGTAAAGGCAGTAATTATGGAAGTGCGTTTTTACTATAATTAGATAAAGTTAAAGTCTCCTAAAACTTGGGGACTTCACAGGGGACAAATGATGTGCTGAAGGGACAGTTAAGACTGATATATTATTGATATTATTATTACAGATATATAGTTTGATACTTGTTTGTACCAGAAAAACAATGCTGGTAGGTTGGTAAGGCATAGTTTAGTAAATAATGGAGTTTAAGAAGGAATATTATTCAGTTTTATTTACTAATGTATAATATGATTTTATAATTCCTAAATTAATCTGAACTCTTTTTTTAAACGACAAATTAATGTTTTAGCTTGTTGCTTTATTTTATTTTTTGTCTAAATTGTCAGTCTGAAAAAAAAAAATCATAAGAAAGACGGTACAACATGTTTGATAGAAATAATTATGTCAACCACAGCTCATCAATCCTCAGATACCAGTTAAGAGCTTCAGTCATTTAAAGAAGAACAATCCAAAGTGTTACCAGAAGGGAACTGAGGGAAAATGTGTAAAATTTATAAACCATTCCAGATTTTGATACATCTGCTTGTTATAAGTCATTGATGCCAGTAGCCATTATAGCATTACCTGAAACAAGTAATTGCTGAATGTCATTAACAATATGCACCCTGCACTGTTTATATTCTATTACTGGCTGTTATAATACCTGATTATATTACATGTGGACAATCTGAGGAACCTTGATAAATAAAAGTCTAGATTGTTTTTTAGGGAATTGAAATATCTTTCCTTCTCTGCAGGTCTGCAAAATGCAATTTTTTATTTGTGGGCAATAAAAGCTGAATTTTATTGTGTTGCATTGTGTGCCGTTCCAGCCTGTTATTTTTAATTTGCTCACAGAAGGCCTATAATGCACTTAATGATGCCCTATACTACCTAAGCACCACTTAATGCAATGTGTCACCATACGTTTTTATATTTTGTACGTTATTTTCCTACATTTACGGTCATTCCACATGTTTTCGGTGGTCTTTCCCTAACAATGTTTTTCTCTTGTTCTGTTCCAGTTCAGATGTTGCTGAGTCAGTTTTGGGGTCATGTCATCATCATCATAAGATGGGGAAGCTGGTGAGCAGTGACCACAGGCAGCATCGGAAGAGGTGGTGCCTGTGTGTCGTGGTTTGCAGCTGCTGGTTCTTGGCAAAAAAAAAAGTGCTGTGGAGTTGCCTCAGGGAATAATTTGCTCAAATGTTGAAAGGAAGAACAAATTCAAGAGGTTTAAAAGGGCAGTAAGTGAGATTTATATTGTCGCATTGCACCAGATGACCATAAAACACCTGCAGGAGGTTGATAGCGTTGTTAATTGTCCAGGTGCTGAGGTTTTCTGGGTTTCCAAACTGTCTTTCCGGCTTGTGGGCTGTTTTGGAGCAAAATTTCCACACCCAGAGTGAAGTCATGCTGATGTTGTTGAAATGCCAGCTGGTTATGAACACACAAAGATGACTTACCCTCTGGAGTCCTGAGTATTTTATATTTACAGTAACATAACTTCATTTATATTTCACATAGAGGCGAGTTGAGAAAAACTGTTGAAGTGCCGGTGTCGGCTTTCACAAAGTACTTCAATTATCTCTGCAGACCATAACACATATTTTAAAAAGGAATTATTTTAAAACACTGAATTATTAATACTTTCAGTAATTTACAGGCATACATTGTAATTTAACAGACTGTACCATAGTTGTATTTCTTCTATTTTTATACATAGTGAAACAATATTTTTCTTTTCAACCTACAATCACTAAAGATTTTTTTCTTGTAATTTAGGTTCCTGGAAAAACGATTAGACAATGTTGCCAACTTTGGCGGCAAGGACAGTTTAAAAAGTTCTTAAAAAAAAAAAAAAAAAGACGAAGATGAATGCATAAATGTCATTTTACCCTGCAGCAAATATCGTTTTGACAGCTGATCTGGCAAATCTTGAATAACAACGGTGTGAGCTTACGTGTTCTTTTATTGTTCACAAAGCCTCATTTCTCTGTCAAGTTGTGTGGTTTAAAGCTCATTAGTCTTTTTTTTTTTTATTTACACAGGTACATTTTTGACCTCCCAATTTAACATTTAGCTTCATGTAACACTAATGAAAATTTTGCATAAACACCAGTAAAGCTTCCTTTGGCCTGAATGACTGAATGAATTTGTTCTTTCTCTTTGTCTGTGTAGATAAAGCACATTTCCTGTATGTCAATGTCAATCAAAATAATTAAATCAACTTAAACATTAACTTGCAATTCTGTCAAATCTTCTTGTTTTCATGTTATAATGTAAGGCCATGAAATACACTCAGCACATTGATGACTAGCAGTACTTCATGTGTCTGTGACATACAGGAACACACACCAATGACCTGTCTGTTAATAATTGAGGGCTGCAACTAACAGTTATGTTCATTGTCCATTAATCATTTGTTAATTGAATGTATGAATATATTAAAGTTTCCCATCACAAAGCATAACTTGACGTGATCAGATGTATTGATTTGTTTGGCCAACAGTCCGAAACGCAAAATATTTTTGCTATCACAGGAGACAAATACAAGCAGAAAACCTTCACAGCATAGAAATTGGAACCAAGCGAATGTTTGGCACTTGCAGATTATTTTTTTGTCCATCATCTTCCTCCAGGGACAGTTAATGCACTCAACATTAAAACAAATATAATTTAAAATATTTTCATAGCTTTCATTTAATGCTCTTCACAGAAAAAAAATAACTGAATTGATTTTACGTGAAGAACTGGGACTAGGTTTTATGGTTGATCAATAAAGCGTTGATCATTAAATTTCTGGCTGAGTGTGACTGCTGAGTAACACTGCACTGATTTTACACTATTATCAGGTCATAATTTATGGGTTGAGTGAGTTACATGACCCTCAGGGTGTAAAGCCACGTTGTTAAATTTTCGAAATGTGGTTATCAGTGAGAACATGAATCATTCCTGTGAGATTTACTTTTCCCAAACACATTTTCCCCTCCTAGGAATAGTGATTTTATGTTTGTCCTGAGTTGAACCGAATTTTCTGTCTGACAAAAAACTGGTTTCCAGGATCAAAAGAAAGACATCGAGGTGTTTTGTGTAGATCGATGCTCTGTCTGCAGCACAGTTAATGCTTTCAACAGAGTGAGAGAAAAGGCATGAAACGGCACACCACATTTTGGCTTCAGTGGTCACTGAGACCATGTACATACTAATGCAGATTATAACCTTTACTATCCACATAAAGCACAGAAAACATCCTGAGCAATAATGACACATTTTTTTCACCTTTTATTTATTCAGAGGAGTCTCACTGAGAGCGGGAACGCCGTGATTACATACACACAGTTACACATTCACACCTGGAAGCAGCTCCACTGGAGCCATTGGGCTTAAGGGCCTTGCTTAAGGGCCTTGCTCAGGGGCACCACAGTGGTGGTAATGTTCATTCAATCGATTCAACTGACAACCTTCCAGTCACAAGCTCACTTCTCTAACCTTTAGGCCACCACTACCCATTTTTTTGGTCAGGTGATCTATTGGAGATACTTCTTGTAAACAATACAAATCACCTTGAAATGGTGAACTTGTTTATCAGACTTGAACAAGTCCAGTAATTTAGCTGTTTTTATTTTAGCACTCCCACATGGACAGCAAGACAGACTTGGTACATCGACACACCAGACCTAATCTGCATTAATGTGAACATGGCCTGAGGCAGAAAGGAAGGGAGGACAAACAATACTGATGGAGATCAGGCTCTGTACAGTTACAACATTTGGTGGACAGCAGTGCAAGTGACCCTTGTAGGACAGATCGACCTGGCCACTAGCCTTCAGATCATTAGAGTTTGAGATTTAAGAGCTTGTCTGTGTTCTTTTTAAGACATTGTTGTGTTATCACCGAATCTGAGGCAGAAGCCTGAATAAAGACAGAGAAAAGAGATCAAGAGTGCGAGGGAAAAAAAGGAAGAAAGGCAGACCGTGGGAACTAGAGAGAGAGGGACAAAGACCAAACAGGAAAGAGCGTGTGTGAAAGAGAGCAAGATGGAGAGAGTCAGGGAGAGAGAGAGAGAGAGCGAGAGCGAGAGAGAAAGAGGAGGGGAGATATATTTGTCTGCCTATAAAGCTCAGCATGCTTCTCGTTTTTGATTTCAGGGCTTGCCGTGTAAAGTTTAGCAGAAGTGAATCCTGATTGTAAGAAATGATGACAATACACCAATAAAACATCTCAAACCGAGGAAGCTGTCTGTTGTTCGTATGTTTGAAGGAGAACAACAAAACTACAGTTCACGTTTCTGTAAAGAACATTTTGTTTGTTTTGACTGGACTGGTGAGAATAGTTCAAAACTGTGGTGTGAACTGAAAATTGGTTATCTATATTATACGTGATATTTATGTCATGTGAGTAATTGACACAAATTCACTTGATTCATCTTTTGCATGGGACAGTCATTTCTTCCATTAGTCAGGACGTGTGGCTCCTCTTATAATATCAGTGATGGATGAAGTGCAGCTGTAGTTTCCACTGATGTTCATATTAACTATTTCAGCTCTTAACCACAGGAAAAGACTTTTTGTTGTCAACAAGGCTGCACAGTGATAATGACGGCAAGTACAACCGTATTGTAAAAACTGTATATTTACAACTCTGTTGGTGTGAAACCGAACTGCACAGAATGCAAAGTGCAAAAACACATCTCACATATGATTAACACAAAAAATAAGTACACTTGTGGGTGTGCTCACACTTTTAAATTCACACTTTGCCCTTATAGGTAAACTACTACTACTACCAACTGTACATTTTGAATTTGGACAAATATAATGGGAGTCGAGGCTGTGTTAGTGCTAACATCAAAAGTTTTAGCTACAGTCTATTATAATGGATCCATATCTTTCTTTTAGACAACTAGCCTATATATGTTTGAGCTAACTGCTAACAGTTAGCTCAAACATATATTTATCTTTAACATATAACATATTTTATTGCCGCTAGTCTGCCAAACTGTAAACAAATATTGGCTAAATAATGGTTCAAGTTGGAGCCCAAAGCTGACTCACTCACTCAAGGCAACACTGTACTTCCTGTTTACACCCCCCAAAACCTCCCAAATTATGGGAACTGTAGTACTGGAAGCAGTTGTCTTGATTTTGTCTGAGAGCCACAGTGTTTGAAAAAAAACCCTGCATTAAATAAAGCCGTTAGCTCATGAAAAGTTTAGTCTGTGGAGATGTTTGTACCATATCTTTAATGGGTTTCACACACATCTGAGCTAATTTTTGTGGGTTTGTGTGTGTGTGTTCATGGTCTCATCAATCGTCAGGTTTAAGGTTTATACCTTAAAAAAAAGCTGTATACATCTTTTGTGATGCAGTAGACCTCTATATCCTTGTTCTTAAGTATCTGTTGGTGCTCATCATTTCAACTAGTTCAGACCATGACGTGGGAGCAGGGGTGAGGATGGTGCTCAGCAACGATAAAAACCACTCGCACTGAAAGTTCACAACCTTATAACAAAGTTAGATAAGGTCATAGTATATATACAAACACATGCAATGGGTGGTGAAAAAAGATTTTCTCTGCAGAGGTGAGATAAGGTCAGTTTAAGTGCAGAGGACTACAAAGTGAAGGGTTAAATAAACCTCTTGAATCTTAAATGCTTTTTTGGAACACGTGTTCTTAATATGTCATCAGTCACTAAAAACCTCCCTTGATTTGAACATATTCACAATTATTTGTATTAAAACTGGAAAAGGACTAGAACGTAGATGTATTTGTTGATCAAAATAAACTCTTGAATGTAAAAAATATCTTTGGTGATTATAATAAATATAATGCAAATGCAAAAGAAACAAGCATTTTAGCTTGTGTCAAAGAAAAAAAGTCTTGGGTGCCCCCAGTAACCCCGTAAACAAACATTTTCTACCGTTAGATATCAGATAATCCTACACAAATATCATTAAATGAGTCAACAGTGTCGGCAGGTTGATGCTGCTGAACAGTCTGTCTGTGGCTTTGGTTTGATCCAGTGGCCTAAACTGAGATCAGATGTGACAGACGGGGGTAGAAACTAGGAAAGAAGAGGTTGAATTTGACATTTTGATCAAGTCAGGCGAAGACACACACACACACACACACACACACACACACACACACACACACACACACACACACACACACACACACACACACAAAACACACCAAGAGCTGTGAGAATGTCAGTTACACACTTATCAGTGTACAGGTCCAATACACCACAGGCACATCAACAGAAAAAGCTGCTAATGACAACCTACATGTTTAGTATAAATACTTTGTGGATGCAGCTTTTGTCTTTTAGACATACTAGCAGCGTGAGACTCTCAGCAATTTTGGCCTGTAGGTCCACTACTTTGGTCTTGACTGAAATATCTTAATAACTATTGGATGCATTGTCGGGAAGGTTTTGTACAGACATTTATGTTTCCCAGAGGATATTCCTCCAGCACCACCAGCAGGGTAAAATTTGGGGATTTGTGGCAATCCATCCAACTAGATCATATTTTAAATCACCCTCAGCAAAACTGTGATGGTGATCATGGTAAACATTACACCCGCTCAACAACAGTATGTTAGCATTGTCATTTAGCATTTTAATGTTGGCATTACAGTACAAGGGGGTTTCACATTGATAGCTGAGCTAATTTTTGAGTCAACTGGGTGTATAGGCAGGACCTCAATACCGTGGCTCTAACCCCAAACACTACTGCACAGACTCTGGCTCCAAATTATATCATCAGGGCAAGATGGCAGCCCTCGTGTCTGGGACATTTGAGCTTCGTTTTTGTACAGTGGGAGGAAATGGAGACACATCATCCATCTTTATGTAGTCTATGGCATAGTCTCACAGAGCTGCTAGCACGGATGTAGTTCAGCACCATGTACTAATTCTACACTGAATACTACATACTAATAGTATATGGTTTTAGCAGTCAGTGAAAAATCAACATACCTAACCACTTTATACAAACAGAAAATGACACAATACACGCAGCGTTAGACATCCATCAAACTGCAATAGTAGAATGTTACTATAAGTCAAATTTCACAAATACAAAACAAAATGTTAATGTTATGTTGACTTAAAGGTCCAGTGTGTAACATTTAGAGGATCTACTAGCAGAAATGGAATATAATATTCATAGGTATGTTTTCATTAGTGTATAATCACCTGAATATAAGAATTTTTGTGTTTTTGTTACCTTAAAATGAGCTGTTTTTTATCTACAGAGGGAACAGGTCCTACAGCGTCCACCATGTTGAACCACAACGTTTCTACAGTAGCCCAGAAGGCTCTAGATCGGGCCTTTTGAGTTTTTCACAAGTTTGCCATCATAGTGTCTCCTACCCACTTGGCAGATGAGCTGTGGTCAAATAGTTGTAACTTCACCACTAGATGACACTAAATCCTACACTGGTCCTTTAAGATGAATTAGT